CTTAGCAAAACTGTATATGCATACAAAGATACGTAATAGTTTCAGTGCGTTTGAAAGGCGCCACGTCCCCTTTTCAAATAACCCCAACTTTCTCTAAGAGCATGGGATTGATTTCATATATCTCTATACCATTTTCGAGTAATTTACCATGGGAGGTGCCACGTCCCTTTTTCCAATAGCCCCAACTTTTCTTCATGACCAGTCGCGTGTTATATATCTTGTACATACCAAGTTCCAGTACTCTTCCATGAACACATTCAGAGATATGCAGTATGAAAAATTCGATGTGTATGGGAAGTGCCGCGCCTCCTTTTCCGATAACCACAATTTATCTTCATGAGTATGCGATTGCTTTCATATATCTCCATACCAAGTGCCAAACCTCTTCCATGAACATTTTCCGGGATATGCAGTATGAAAAATTCGGTTTGTATGGGAGGTGCCTCGTAACTTTTTCCAATAACCGCAATTTTTATCCATGAATATGCAAATGTTTTCATATATCTCCTTACCATATTCGAGTAGTCTACCATGAACACTTCCAGAGATGTGCAATATGAAAAATTCGGTTTGTATGGGAGGTGCCACGCCCCCTGCACATATGTATATAACACAACAAATTTCATAAAGGTCGGTCGGGCCGTTTAGGAAGAGTTCGATTTTTATATGTGTATTAGATAAGCATGATGCGAGAAATATTTTTCTCGGGTTCACAACTATCCTATCTTTTAAGTTGGAATCAACAATACACACCCACAAAATTTCACTGAAATCGGTTAAGCGGTTTCGGAGATTAGCGTAAACGAGCACAGTGATATTTATATACAGTGACGAGCAAAACTGTAACATGATGTAACACTTTTTATTTCAGCCACCGCTATCTTTCATAGTTCTAACGACTTTCATACTATTCTTATTGGTACACTCCTACTCCCGCTCTCATAACGATTTGAGGTCAATCCAACAACAATAAAAAAACCTGGAGACAAAAATGTAAGTTAAGGCAAATGTTACAGTTTTGCACTCACTCTCAGTTTTGCATTTTACAGTTATCTTTTGCTTAGTTGGAAGTCAGATGACTTTTTTCTGTATTTTAATTTATTCAAGAAGTGATCACCAATAAATAATATGGTTAATCAGGAAACATAAATGTAAATAATAGATTTACTGCGAAAAGGCGGGACCGCAGGGAAAGGGGCAAAAAATTGTGGAGTTTGCCACATGAAAATGTTAAGACTGAGAAAAAATATAGCCTAAAGTGTTACTAAGGACAAAGAAAGTCTGTCAAAATATATTACAGTCCGATATCATGTGAACTTAGTAGCAAGTAGCGCTGCAGGCACTACTACAGAAGCGCTTAAGGTATTAAAATTGAATGGAAATCAGTAGATAGTGAGGCGAAAAATTGCCAAATTGAGCAAAATGGATCATAAAAGACGAAAAAAGCAAATTTGATCAAAATACATGTGCGAGTGTGGCAGCGTTTTGCTGCATCGCACGAAAACCGGACCGTTGCCTATTGGGATATGTTAGGCCTTACAGAATGCAATAAAAAACACATTTTTAAGATTTAATTGAGGGTTATTTGGTCTGACAAGACTAAATTAATAGCTTTCAATCGGATGGCCGGGCATGGTATTGGTCAAAGGCCCAAATTAAGCCTAAGCGCATCATGTAAGGCAAACTGTGAATCACAGTGGTCGGTCAATAATAGTTTGGGGTTGTATTTCAAAAATGTTGTTGATCCGTTTGTACGCATTATGCGTAAGGAACAGTATCTGTTCATATTTTAACAAAATTTGCAAGATGTAGTCAAAAAAATTAGAGTTTCTGCTGAAAAAGCAACCAAAACACACTGCACATGTTCGCAAAGACTGGAACAAAAGCAGAAATTTGCTAATTTGAAATGACCTCCACAATCCGAGGACATGAATCTCATCGAGAATTTGCGAAATCAACTAAAAGCACATCTTACTAAGTATCCAAGTTCGTCCAATGGAGTACATGAGCGGTGAAAGCACTCCAAGGATATATGGGAGGCTATACCTCGAGAATTTTTACAGACATACACATTAGGTATGCCAAATTGCAACCAGGAACTAAATAAAGCAAAAGCATACTGAACATTGTGTTAATAATTCTTTTTTTTTTGTGAAAATTGTCAAAAAGTTATTAAAAATATATGAGTGCAAAACTGTAACATATGCCTTAATTTACATTTTTGTCTGCTGGTTTTGTAAATGTTGTTGAATTGACTTCAAATCGTTATGGCAGAGGAAGCAAAGATGTACCAATAAAAATATACAACAACCGTATGAATGTCGTTAGAACTTGGAAAGATAGCGACAGCTGAAATAAAAAGTGTTACTCCATGTTACAGTTTTGCTCGTCACTGTATGTATTAAGATACCCTACTATAAGCACCTACCATAGAAACGTTTGCGCACCAAATTTCAATTTCATTTGACTTATGGTTTTGAAGTTATAGCTGACAAAATTTTCCACGCCTATGGGATGTGCCACGCCCCCTTTTACAAACCCATTTATATATAAGCACCTACCATTGATATATCTGCATACTAAATTTCAAGTTAGTGGGACTTATAGTTCCGAAGTTATGGTTGAAAAAAATTACATGCCTATTGGATGCACTCTTTTCCGAACTGATTTATATATACCCTAATATAAGTTCCTACCATTAAAATAGCTGCGTACGAAATTTCAAGTTCAAGCGACTTATAGCTCCGGAGTTATAGCTGATAAACCATTCCAGGTCCATGGGACGTGCCGCTCCCCCTTTTACAAACTCACTTATATATAACCTACTATAAGAACCCACTATAGATACGTCTGCGTACCAAATTTCAATTTCACGTGACATATGATTCCGAATTTTCCACGCCTATGGGATGTTCCACTCAGTTATATATGCCTTACTTAAAGCGCCTACCGTAGATATGCCTGCACACCAAATTTCAAGTTCTTGGGACTTATGGTTCCCAAGTTATAGCTGATGAAAGGGTCCATGCCTATGGGATGTGCCACGCCCTTTTTTCAAACTCATGTATATATAGCCTACTGTAGGCACCTACCGTAGATATGTCTGCATACCTTATTTCAATTTAATGTGACTGATGGTTGTGAAATTGTAGCTGATAAAAATTTCCACGCCTAAGGGATGTGCCACGCCCCTTTTACAAACCCCTTTATATATACTTTACTGTAAGCACCTACCATAGTTATATCTGCATACCAAATTTCAAGTTCATGTAGCTTATAGTTCCGGAGTTATAGCTGATAAAATATTCCTATGGGATATGCTACGCCCACTTTTACAACCTCATTCATATATACCCTACTATAAGCACCTACCATATGTGTCACTGAATAACAAATTTCAAGTTCATATGACTTATAGTTTCGGATTTATAGCTGATAAAATATTCCACGCCTATTGGATGTGCCACGCCTACTTCTACAATCTCATTTATTTATACCATACTATAAGCACCTACCATATATATCACTGTATACCAAATTTCAAGTTCATGTGACTTATGGTTCCGAAGTTATGATTGATAACAAATTTCACGCCTATGGAATGTGCCACGCCCACTTTTACAAAGTCATTTATATATACTCTACTGTAAGCCATATATATGACTGCATACCAAATTTCAAGTTCATGTGACTTATAGTTTCGAAGTTATGGCTGATTAAAAATTTCACGGCCAGTAATTCAAAAATGATTTAGAAAATTCAGAGAAATATGCTTACTTAGGGTTTACACCGGACAATACTGTCATGACAATGAAGATATACGTATTAGTTGTCAAAATTGTTGCAATGGAATAGTGTGCATGTATTGCTATTGTCATGACAGTATTGTCCGGTGTAAACCCTAAGTTAGAGAAGAAGTATGGGTATAAAATTAATGAGGAAAGCCTGTAGAATTTAAACAGATTCAAGTTTCTGGCGCAGAAGGGCTGGTAAATATTGAAAATGTCATTTTAAAATTTTATCCTTGAATTTTCGAAATATTTTGTTTTGTTACATCTTTTTGAAAAAATTACATGCTAAGGGCTTATATAAACTCCTCGAATCTCGTTCTTCTAACTTAGTCAGCTTAAAAATTACCTATTCGTCCTTGTGAATACAAAAAATTAAAATTTTTTAAATTCTAAAGAAATTTCTTATTGCATTTGTGGGCCATATTTTTATTCTTATTTGTGAATTTTTTTAATAATTTTGGAAATTAATCATATCTTTGCAATTAAAAAGTCCTTAAAAATAAATCCTGCGGTCAGAAAAAAAAGTAAAAACGCCACTTTAAATAAAAAATAGGTTTCAAACCCATTTATTTATTAATTACTTCATGGTAGGAGAGCTTCTCAAACAATATAGAAGGAATTTTTTTGATTCAAGTTGTTGAAAAGTAATGAATATCTAAATCCCGGGACTAATCCCGGGATTGTGACAACGTCATACCGAAAATCTCGGGATTGGAAAAAGCCGAAAAATTAACATCCCTAATACGTACATATGTATGCAACGCGTAACCTCCGAAAATTTAACTGAATTCTATTATGTTTTGAGTTAAGTACGAACAACGAAAACGGCTATTAAAGAAAAAATGCCAAAACGGGCCAAAATGTCGCTGGCCTAATTAGTTGTACACAACTGTATATAATTTCAATTATGAACGCTATTTTGTTGGACATTTGTTTATGTACAGTATTGACAAACACATACTAAAATATGTATTGCAAATTCATATACAGACTTAGTTTTAGGAGGAAATAGATTAACAACGAAAGTGCCGAAAGTAAGCAAACCAAGAATCTTGGATTCACTCTTATTTTTGTGTTCAAAATTTACTTGAATAAATTCAGGCACATGCAGAAAAAAAAATATCCAGTGGCTTTGAGCCACGTAATTCTGCAGATGAAAATATCCTGAATTAAAATAAATATTCATCAATTAATTAATTTTTATTCCAGGAGGATGCAAATCGTGGCAAACCTAACTGGGAGCACTTGTCCGATGATCTGCATGTATTGATCACTGTGGAGGATACAGAGAATCGTGCCAAAGTCAAATTAGCGCAGGCGGTCGGCGAAGTTCAAAAGCTTCTCGTACCGGTGAGTATAACGTCTTATGCGGAATGTGAAATACGCGCAGCTGAAAAGTTGTTGAGTTGAAATATTTACGAGCAAGTAAAATAATTTTGTCGTTTACTGAAAACTTTCCACTTTTCTATATACATATTTATTAAAACCAAATCCCATTAATGATTTACATACTTATACATACGCGTGGCTACAATTAAATAAAATCAGAAAAATAACTTCAATAATGTTTTAATATTATAACAAAGAGAATTGCAGAAACTGCTAGCTATATTACCACATATGTATGTTTAGATGCCCATAAGTATCTGTAAAGCAAAAAGGAAATAGTTCCAAAATTTGGAATTTAAGTGTCCTACTTAAGCCGGGATCACACGATTTGCAAATTTGTACATTTTGATAGTTACAGGTGGGGTTTTATATTAAGCGGAACTCATTCTCGATACAAATTTCTAAGCACCACTCGGTCACTGCTAAAATGTACAAACCTGTACAAATGTTCAAATCGTGTGATCCCTATTTTAGACTATTTCTTCTTTGTGAGCCTTGTTTGCAGCGAACTAGCGAATTTAAAATGACGCTCTAATAGGTGTCGGTTTACTCCCTTCCGCATATTCTACTTACGTACTAGAATATGCATCGGAGAATTAAACTGCCTAAAGCAAAAACGTCGTCGAAATACTTGGGTGATTCACAAGAAGTCATGTCTTGACTTGATTGATTCACAGTATTCATAAGACAAATTGAAACTTTTCAAAATGTATGTCTTTATGACAATATGTATGACTTATGACATTTTGTTTATCACGCGACTACTTATACCAATTAGTGTATTTTTGAATTACTTCATCTCTCCAATACGGATTTCTAGTCTTCGATTTTCAGCCGGAACTTGGCATTTTTACATACACTTGTATGAACTTGCATATATATGCCCACGCCGGTCGTAGCAGATAATAGGAATGGCCTCTATGAAGGAAAGATGGAGGAGGACTAGTCTTCACTTGATCTTCCTTTTGGCTCAGTTGGCACGGGAGAGAAGCTAACTGACGTGCTATAATCGTCATAGCCAACGCCACCAAGGAAGCAGAAAATAGGCATATGTATGTGATATTGTGGCGTGGTTTTTGTGATTCTCCAATTGCGTGCGCGTGCTCTTTTATCCATAATCTGATTAATCAAAATAATTGTTTTTGTATACATAAGCATATCATGTTTACATACCATACATAATATTTACAAATTGCATAACCAGCCCGTTAAAACACGAAATCAACCAAACATTTCAAAATTACAAATTTTTAATACTGAATTTATCTAATAATTTTCTTTTGTGTATTAAAATTCACGACTACATTAATGTTTGTACTAACAGCAAGCTGAAGGCGAAGATGAACTTAAAAAACGTCAACTCATGGAATTAGCTATAATTAATGGCACTTATAGGGATACGTCTGCGAAAAATGCTATTCCAGGTATGTTACACTCACTCTCCCGATTATTAATTGATTCTTTTATTAATATACAAACATACATATTTTTTTTTTTAATTAAAAAACTTTGAATAACAATTACTACTGGTACTGATGCCCAAATACACACATAATTGTAAAATATAACCTTTGAAAAAAAA